TAAATTTTCAGGAAGTGTTCCCAACTCATCTACAACTTGAATTTATCAAATTCAGCCCCGTTATGCGTGATGGCTACGCAAGGCCCGGTGAAATTTTTTGGCTGCAATTTGGGTAACTCGGGAACTAAGAAAGCTGGGGACCTGGGATTTCAAGGGAATGTTCCCTGTCCAACTATAGCGTGGATAATTAAGTTCCCGAAATTCGGGGACCAGTATGTACAAGAGTTTTTTAGCTAACGGAATTTCGAGTAATTTTATTACAGCGCGAAACACTGCAAAAACGCATGATCGCACGCGGCCCCCCAGTGCGCGTCGCCAATGATTTTGACTCATTACCACGCGTCGCTGCCATTTTGTCATGAAATGAATGAACGAATCTGGTGTCTCAGTCATAAGTCGAACCTCCGATTTTTCATTGTAAGAGAATTGGTACCTGGTTTACACCATATCCATTACTAACTGCCTAATTAGCTATTAAATTAAAGCACAAACCTAATTTCTAGGAGAAGTATAGCGTTAGTAAGGATGAAATTTCGAAATATAGTGAAACAACAGGTCAGTCTGCAGTTTCTGTTTCATCCCTTACCTGTAAACACTAATACAGTAGTGGAGCGATGGAAGGAGAAGGGAGGGAGGATATTTTGATGAAACATGCAAAAAAGAACATTGAAACAACGTTGTTTGGAGAGAGTCGCTTACGTGCGAAAAGAATTTCGCATCTGAACCGAGCTTTTGCAGCAGTTGGTATTGATGACACGTTTTTAATGTTGGTTGCATGGCACGGCACAGACTGGAAACTTTCTGTGGAAGATCGTATTGAAGCAGCGATGCGACATGCTTCCGTATCTATAGCTATCACTTCAGTTACCGATGCTACAGCATTCCTTATAGGATCTACTGCTTCTCTGCCCGCAGTAAGCTCCCCTGCCGTCAGTTACAATTTTTCCCACTGATATTTCGCTGAGTGTAGTTGCACGTCCGGAGAAGAATGATGAGACAGCGCCACGATTGAGATATGTTAAATCAACTGATCAAGCTAATGTTGGGGTCGCAAAACCTGATTAAAAGGATCAGAAAAGTCCGCCAAAAGACTGTTAAAAATCAGCCAGGAACAGATAAAATGCTTTAAAATAAGAACACTTTAGCTCAGTGCTAAGGATCTTTAAACTATTTAAGCAGGTCTCGTAAAAAGTAGTAAAATCACCCTTATATTTAAACAGGTTAATGCAAAAAAAGTAAATTTCTCCTCTGCTTTAAGTTGAAACTAATAGAGTAATTAGTTCTGCTTGTTTGCATTCTGGATCTGTGGGCGCGTGAGTTCGCTTCCCATAAAGCACTTGCCTCACTTATTGTCGTTTCCTATACTCCTATCCTCGAAAATCTTGTCCTTAATCTTTCGCTTGCTTTTATTGACTTCATCCCATCGATAATTGGATTTCTTTTTTTGCTGATCCTTTTTTCCCGGACCTCTTCTGCAAATGATTTTTCAGAAGAAGATCCCTGCGTGATTTTAAATTCACTTACAGGTCATTTATTTTTGCTACTATGCAGCGGCGGCAATAATATTCACATTCTGCTATTTGTTAAGCGCCTTCGTTGCTTTTCTGGCAATTTTCGGAGATTGGGAGAAGAATGGACGAAACAGTTTGCTTTATATCAAAACCACTTCGTCCTGTAACATCGGTTGAGTTTTTTGAGCATTTTTACGCATCAGTTTAAAAGTACTCTTTCAATCTACAACAGCGAATAATAATTTTGAGCTTTGACGTCAAAGGGTGGAAAAACTATTTGGAGATATCTTCTTTATATTTGTGAATATTTATAACAAACTCTTGTAGCTTCAAAAAATCTGTGACAATTTTGTAACACTAGACTGGGCCATCCATTCGAATGCCTCCATTTCTCGTACAAAGTGAATGCAGAAGAGTTTTTATTAACAGTTTTGAGTCATTTAAATACTAGCCAGTGATAAAAGTTCAGTGAGCTGCTATTTTTAGGAATAGTTAAAAAATGTCCGCCTACTGAAATGCTTTTTAAGATAAGTGTTTTTCAAAAAAATTTTGTTTACATCATAGGGGATTCCAACTCCCAGAGCGGCTAGCACCAAAAGCCATGATTTTTCGTTTTTTTCAATGAGCTGAAGAAAGTTGATTAGCCGTTAGCTACCATTCCAGAGAATTCTTCTGCGCTGCAGCGAATTTTCAACATGAGAAAATGCTGTTGTGCAAGTAACTTATCAAAATGTCTTCAGAAGTCGTACAGCAGTATGAAGGTAAGACGTCACATCAATACGGGAATGGAATAACATTCACTGATAACTAGAGGAAATGATAATACGATAAGCAAAGAACGACCCAGTAATGAGATACACGTAAAAAGACACTTGTCTTTATATTTGTTACTAATTCTAGCTGACACTTTAGACAACTAATATTAACACTAAATCTCCGGTCTCTTCGTTTTCTTCTACTACTATTAATGTATTTGCCCTTCAGATTAGTATTATTTACGGGAGAAATTCTATTATATTACGTTCTTATTGAAGAAAAAGCATGCGATACTATGGGAACATAAACCATTCAATTCTGTTTTTGACGTTGTGCTGGAAAGCTTTACAGGCGGACTATTGCACACTTGTTTTTTGGCATAAGCAGTTTATTGAAAAATACTATGCTCCTGTCATTACTATCTCGTGGATTCGGGTACTTGCATTGCTCCTCTTCATCACTTACATCGTGGTGGCAGCAACTGGACTAAATGCGCTTCAAGTTGGCTTTGATGTGAGTTCTGTCGAATCCCCTAGAGCTTTACTTTTTGTTTTGGATGAACAAATTCATCATTTCGAACTCACTCATCTCTCATTCCGAAATGGCAAGCATTTAACAAACGTTTGTTTGGCGAATCCTGATTTTAAGCATTTGCAGGTTAAAAATCTTATGATGAATGACTCGCCGTCTAAAAAGTTTCTGGAACTTCGCGAGAAGTATTTTGAAGACGAAATGGTGGTGCTTGAGATTGCTGTGCTGAAAGCGCCTGATATGAGTCGGAAAAAAGACAGGGTCCGATTTTTGAATGCACTCAAGAAGCTGGAAAGAACGAGTTGCAGCATCGGAAGAAATACAACTCAGTTCTGGTATTTTGCATATAAGCACTATATGTCCGAACTTGGATTTGGCGATTTCTGGGATATTTTGCAAAACAGCAAAAAGGTACAGCTAACATCGATAAAGGCGGATTTCATTACTTTCGTTTTGCTATGCTTCAGAATCGGCCTGGTTTAATCAAATTTCAAATATCTCTAATCTTCCGGAACACTGAGAGAAAGCGTTATCAAGCCCAATATCT